TTGATAAGAATAGATTTAATAAACTTTCTTTAATTAACTAATAATTTTTTTTTAAAGTTTTTTCAACAAGAAATTCTCAGATCGAAGATTTTAAAGTTTAGGAATTACCTGGTTTTAATCCTGTAAGTTATGCACACAATATTTTAAAACTTTTTATAAGCCACAGTAATACTGTTTTTTTTTATGATTTATATAGATCAATAGTGAAATGAATTAATCGAAAAAAAATAATTCAAATCAAATAAAATGATATCATCAAAAACAGGTTTTTTAGCGTTCTTAAAAAACGTAAAAAAGAAAATTTTGTTCTAACAATAGCTGATAAACTGTTGATAAGCTGATAATAGACTATTGATAATATGCAAATATAATTTTTAACTCAAGAAAGTCTTAACAATTTATCGTCCATGTACAACCGAACCTTAAACTTGCCATTATCGTTATGAAAAAGAAAAAAAAAGGTTTCTTGATAAAATTAAGGTCAAATTTGCACGAATCCTGTTTCTTTGCAGAAATATCTTGTTTCATCAAGTGATTATGATTCGTCATATCTGATGAAACTTTCTGGAACATCATTCCAGGAAAAAAAAAGAAAAATCACACATTATTACGTTATTACGTTATTACGTATGTATGTACTTGCGAACTTATGTTAATTTGGTTAGCAAACGAAAAAAAAATTTTTTCAAAGATTAATAAGGAAAGAATACGCCGGCTAAATTATAAAGGTACGAATAATTTTCTTTCAAATATATACACAAACATAAAATGCAAACGCGTGTAAAAAAATACTAGACGATTAAAGATCAAGAGAAAACAATGACGTCTAACTTACGAACAGTTATGAAGTTAATAAGTTAATAAGTTAATAAGCTAATAAGTTAATGAGAAGAAAAAAAGAGCGAAAATTGAAAATTGTTTACAAACATAAAAGATTACCGGTATACAAAAAAAAACAATTGAGTGAAGATTGCATGATGATTGGATTAAGAATGGACTAATCCAATAAAAGCTTATGATTTTGTTTCAGTTATGTCCAATAAAAACTTGGTAGTTTGTTTCGGTCATGAGAGCGATTGGATTCCGATTTCGGACAAAAGATTCAAGATTCCGACAAGAAAGATTGCCAATTGCGTGAAATTGTGAGAAGGTTCTCACACAGGCCATTTCCAAGAATGACTTTGACAGCCTATCAGTTGAATATTGAGAGAAGATTTAGATAAATTTTAGTTAAACTAGATATAAATAATAGTTAAAAATACCAGTTGTAAACCGGCTTTAGGTATTAAAGCTCATGATAAAAAAATAATCACGGTTAGTTCCGTAGTTCCAAGATATACTAAATTCATAGTAAATTCCGGGAAGGAAAAAAATATTGATGAAATAAATAAACATTAATAAACATTAATAAATGAACTAAACAAAAAATAGTATCAATAATAATAGAAATAATCGGTTTAGTGCAATGATATGAAACAAGTCCGCGCTTGAAATTTTTTTGAAATTAAAATGATCAGATAAGCCGTATACTAATTAAGAGAGATGCATATATTTACCTAATTAAGAATAGAGAAATTAAAGATCATAATGGAATAAAAATTTTTTTTTTTAAATTTTAAGCAGTTAATAATAATATCGTTTTTTCGTCGATTATACGTACCGATTATACAGATTATGCATCAATAATAAGGTTTAATACAGGTTATTATGTTATTCTGTTATTATGCTATTATGTTCTTAAGGTTATAAATATGCGTAATATGTTAATCTGGCTTAATGTTAAAATAGTTAATAATAAATTTAATAAATTTTTAACGTTAATTTTTAACGTTAATTTTTGACGTTAATTTTTAACGTTAAAATTTAGCATTAATATTTAACGTTAATACGTATCAATATATTTTTTAATGAGTTTTTTAGTGATAAGTTTGATAAGGAAAATTTGGAATTAAAATGGAAATAATTTTCGAAAAGATTTTCAAACATTCAATCCTATAAAGTACATGATTATAACAAGATAAGTGTGTAGGTACGCAAAGTACGTGATTAGTACATCAAGTACATGATATGCAACACTATTACTGTATTAACAAAAACTATAAATAAGGACGAAAATCAGCTGAAATTAACAAAAATTGAAAACAACGTAACAATAGAGAAATGAATATCAATTGTAATAAATTTATTTATAACATTTATACGTAACGAAAAGTTTTAATCAACGTTCATTAAAGTCAAGAAGATAAAGAAAATCATATGATCATACTGGATGATCGAAAATCATAGTGTAATTGTAAAAAATGTAATTGTAAATTGTAAGGTGTCAAAGCATTGTCAACGCAGTGGGACATCAGACAAGGTGTACACCCGCCAAACCCTAATTTGATCGAATGCTCATGAAAATTGACTCCATGTGTTTTGTGACAATAGGTTAAGAATGTTGTTTATGTTGCTTGATACGTTTATGGTACGTACGTACATGTATTGTATCCAGACGCTATATGCTATATCTATATGCTATTATATCTATATGCTATTATATCTATATGCTATATCTATACGTATGCTATATCTATATGCTATACAATACGCTGCGTAGATGCTAGATGCTACATACATATGTATGTATACGTTATGTCGATATGCTACGTACGTATGTATGTATGTATGTATACATTATATCGATATGCTACGTATGTAAGTATATGTATATGTATATGTATATGTATATGTTATAAGTATATGTATATGTATATGTTATAAGTATCAGGTATGTTATGTACCAGGTATGTTATGATATTGTATATCGATATGGATATTGATATGCTATGCCTGAATGATTTCTTACAATTTCGTGTACTTATGCACATATCGATATGCGTCATGCAGATGCATTCCTAAATTATGATATAGATATTGGTATGGAAAATTTACTATTTGAGATTAGTATCGGACCATTCAGATTATATGATTATATATACCGGTATATATATAAATTTTTTTTAGATTATTTTTTTTTAGATTTAGATCAGTCGCGGTACAATCTTTTTGACACAAAAGTTTATCGACACAAAGTTTATCTTGCACTTATTTTTACGTTTTAAAAAGAATATTAGTGAAACAACGTACATGGCCATGCGAGTTCCCCCGTGCATAATGCAGAAAAATCAATAAAAAATAGGAGAAAAAAGGAGAAAAACATAATATGATTAAAAGAGAAAAGCGTTATCTTTTATTGTTGTAAAATATAGAATCGTCGTGTTAGTTTAAACGAAACGATTTAGGAAACGATTTGGATTGAGAAAACGATTTAAGGAACGAATTGAACATTAAAGATAGCATTAAGTAAGGATATGGAATGAATGAATGAATGAACGAATTAAAGTTGAATTAAAGTTAAAAATAAGATTGAACGAATTAGAGCTAAGGAAACGATAAGAAAATATTTTTATTAAATACGTATTATTATTAAATCTTTTTTATTAAATTTTTTTATATTAAATATTTTTTATTTTTTTATATTAAATATTTTTCATTGGTTCATAAATCTGGGTCGGTTTATATTTTGTCGTGGCCTGAATTATCCTGAATTTATTCAGAATTTATTCAGAATTTATTCAGAATTTATAATTTATTCAGAATTTTTATTCTGAATTAAGTGATTAACACGGTTAAACAATTTTTTATTAATGCATCAGAGATGATACTTATTAGGTTAGACAGATAAACGTGGTAAAGCATATTGAAAATCATCGATCACGAATTGTTGTAATTGTTGTTAGGAGGATTGTTAGAGGATTGTTAGAGGATTGTTAGAGGATTGCTAGCAGGGAATCACTGAACGTATAATGATAATGATAATGATAATGATAATACGTACGTACGTATCATAGATGCAGTATATGTATATATGTATATATGTATATATGTATATTATGTATATTATGTATATCTGTATATATGTGTAGATGTGTATATGTGTTGATGTGTTGATGTGTAAAGCAGGTTTATTACCTGCGCCATAAAATATAATGTTAGCGCCCTGAAGAATCAGGCTCTTAAATATTTATATAAACAAATATAAATAGTTATATATCAAAGGGGGTTCCGGACTTTCCTTAAAACACAATCTCATGTAAACATTGTGGCGATGTATTCCTTGATAACTTTTAGCGATTTTTTTTTTTTGTTTAGCCAATAATCTATTATAAAAAATAATCATCTGTTCTTTTTTAACGTGAAATCCTTATTGTATTTATTTATATCTATCGTTACAGCATTATGCCGAATATAAGTTAAATGATATCAGTATCAGTTACATAGTTGGTTAGTTAATCGGTTGTTTAAATTATAAATACATGTATATATTTTATTTAATTTAAACCGTTAATGTTTAAATATACTATATTGTTAACATACTATATTGTGTTAACATACTATATTGTGTTAACATACTATATTGTTAAATATACTATATTGTTAATTATATTGTATACTTTATATTACAGTATTATATAATAACTTTATATATATTATATAATATAATTTGTTGTCGGTAATATACTTATCGTTATACTAAGATATGACATCGTACATCAGTATAAAAAAAGATAATGGTTTTCTGTCACAATCATCTCCTTGCATTAATTCAGTTTAGTGATTACAGTACTGCAATCAATGTCTACAAAAAAACAAATATTTATTTATACTTCTACTTTTCGTCTTTTTTTTCATTTTGGTCGTCTTAACTTTTTTTTTTATTAAATTAACGTTAACACCTTTGGTGTTTTCTTAATAATACTCTTCTTTGACCTTCTCTTTATTGTGTCAAAGAAATACATTATAATTTTATGACTTTTTCATTACGAAAAAAAATTATTTTTTAACGCCTAAAATTACTCTCTATTCTATTTTTTAATCTCTTTACTTGACTTGCATTCTTTGCATTCTCTCTCAGACGACGCCCATAAATCTATTTATCTCTAAGAAATTATACAAAAATGGTTTTATTAGTTTTAACTGAACGTATCCGACACGCGATATTCCAAGCTATACAATCCCCTGATTTTGATGAATCCGCAAAACAAAGACTTAAAACTTATCTTAAGTCTAGAGAGCCTAAATCTTCCATTCCTCTTGATCTCGTTAAAGAGGTTTCAAAATTCTTGGTTAATCGCGATGGAAAACTTGGGAGAGAAATTGGTGAGCTTGGTACTTTTTCATTCTTTCATTCTTTCATTCTTTTTTTCAATCTTTTTTTTTTTTCCACTTTAATTTTTCCACTTAAAGAATGTCTTTAAAGCCACAACTGTTTCAAACATTGTTTCAAACATGTATGTCATCATTCTTACATAATTTTTACATATCATACATACCATTGTGTATTCAAATTAAAATTCAATAAGTTTGCAAATCTTTACTCAATTTACATTATTTTCCCACCCCCCGGTGTTTTACTTGTCCAAAGTTTAACTTAAAATTTCTTTTCGATTGTATAATTTTTGATTGTATAATATGATTGTATTAAAACCGGGTATTTCCATTGTTCATACTTCATTATCTAACGCCATTTATCCTTATTTTTGAAAAAAACTTTTTTTTTTCTTATAGGTTTCTCAAGCTATTGGCTCCACGAATTGCTCACTGGTAGTGGTGTTTACATGGAACCTCGACAAGAAAAGGCCAAGGTAATTTTATTTATAATTATATTATATATAATATTATATATATAATTATATCAGTTATCACCGTTTTATCTATCAATCTATCTATCTATCCTAATTATCTATCTATCTTATTAATCCATCTATCATCTATCTATCTCGTATTCATCGTATTCGTAGAGTCCTGAATTACTTGCTCGACTGGAAAAAATTCTTGCCGAACAAGCTGATAAAGAATATGCTCGTATGATTGGACGTGTTGCTTCCTCTTATGATGTAGAAACTTTTAAACTCTTAGATACTGAAGAGTTCCAAAGTGTCCGTGGTCAGCTCACTGCTATAATTAATATTACTTTTACTGTTGTTGCTGTATTTGCTGCTGTGTATCACGTTGCGCAAACCATCACCGGTGATACTGGAATGGTAGGTGTTTCTCTGTTGCTCCGAACGGGTTATCCCGATTTACCTAAATTGGATCCGTTATAATAATTTGTGTTCATGACCATTACACTATATCATTATACTATATCATCACTATGCGTATAATATATTTGTTATAAACGGGTCTGTTTCAGGTCAAACGGGTTACCCCGTGATTATCATCAGGCATTAACCATTATTATGAATTATTATCCATTATTATGCTAAGCATTACATTGTTAACCTTACATTGTTAATTAATTATAGCGTGTGTTGCTTGCCCTCACCGGAAGCGTTATCGTTGGTGTAGCTGAAACATTTTTGTACATGCGTTATCTCGCTGGCTTTGACAAAAATGACCCTAAAAAGGAACGTAAACAACGTCGAAGATCTTCCGCTTCAAGCCCACAAAACAGAATTGTTTATTATTCTACTCCTCCTCATCATCATTATCCTAAATCAAGATTGACTAAACCATTATGAGCAAACATTCATGAGTACTGTATTATCGGCCAAAAAGTATCACTCCATAACAAAAAAAAAAAAAAACTTTTTTTTTAAACATTCGTAAAAAAAAAAATTTTTTTGTACATTTTTTTTTTTTTTATTCGTGTAGTATTTGGAGCTCTCATTAATATCTCACTAATAATAATGTGATAATAATGTGTAATAATGTGTACAAAGGGGTCCATCTTGACGTAGAGCTCCAGGTACTGTACGACAAAAAAAAGGCATTTTTTGACATGTAATATAACATAGCAAGTAATTTTTTTCTCTTTTCCACCTTTTCTATTTCTCTTCTCTATTTTTCCTTCCATCTTCTTTTCCATTTTCTGTTCATTTTTTATTAACGCAAAAAAAAAAAAAAATCAAAAAAAAATCAAAAAAAAAAAAAAAAATCTTCTCTAATGCTTTCAAAAAAAAAAAAATCACAAGACTTTTCGTCACCTAAGCTTTCAATAGGTTCTAATATGTGTATATTCTCATTTGGTTTTTCAAAAAAAAAAAAAGGGATTCAGATTCTTCAGATTCAGGTGTAGGAAAGTCGTAATGAGTAATTTTTTTTTTTTTATTCTTTGCTTCTCAAAAAGTATTTATAATTTCATCAAAAAAAAAAGGGTAACGACCTTTGACACTACCCTTTTTATTTAATTAATCAACAGAATTGCTCCTTAAGGTTCTGTTTATAAATTTTTTGTGTTCTTTCTACTCTTTTTTTTTTTTAAAAAAAAAAAAAAGAAAAGAAAAATGTAATATAGTGCACAATGAATGAAAAAATTAATAAAGTTCTTAGCGTACTGTATTTAAAATTTTTTATTTCAATATCATTCCTTTACAAATTTAACATTATTTAACAAATTTAAATAATAAGCATTGATGTCCCAATATCTAAAAATATTTTCTTGATACGATACTAACGCTAATATCTAAAAATATTTTCTTGATGCGTACGATAACTTGAATTATAATTTTGCTATGTAATGGTAGGAAAAAAAAATTATACAGGATTTAAATATATATTAGCGGTTTGATTCTTCGAATTTCCATAAACAACTTGTTCGTTAAACGGTAAAACATATAATTTTACTGACTGGCTGGTTCGTTCAATACTTCTGCAACGGCACCGCGGATACTTTCGGGCTGTACAAATATAAATAAATATATGATATTTAATTTAGATATTTAATTACTGTTTATTAATAACCATAAACTATAGCGATAGTATTTCGAATAATTATTACGACAATGTTTTAAGAAACTAACCGTGATATTAGGTTCATATCTATGAACAACCTTTCCTTGACGATTAATCAAGAATTTAGTAAAGTTCCACGGAATATTTTTCTCTTGTTCAGATCCATTCTTCGTCTCGGGTGCATTATTCTTGAGAAACTCATAAAGGGGTTCAGATTTGTCTCCGTTCACTTCAATTTTGGCAAACATCGGGAAAGTAACTTGGTAATCGCTAACCCTGCAAAAGTTTTCAACCTCTATGAAAATTAAAAACATTTATGTTATTTTCGTGTATGTAAATGTATATAAATCACATGAATTATATACTTACCTTCTTCAGTGCCGGGTTCTTGCGCTCCGAATTGGTTACAAGGAAATCCGAGAACGACAAAACCTTGATCCTTAAACTCTTGATAGAGTTGTTCCAATCCTGTGTATTGCTTAGTAAATCCACATCGTGAAGCGACATTAACAATTAAAGCAACTTTTCCTTTCAATTCCTTAAGGTCAAATGGTTTTTTCTTAATATCATTAACTTGGAAATCATAAAATTCAGTCATTTTTATTGATCGTTCATCAGCCATGTTTAATGATCCGTTAAATCTTTTAAATTCTTGATTCTTAAAATTTTTATTATAAAAATTAAAACGATGGTTTGTTGTGATGGATCTACAAGATATATAATTGTCGGAGAATAAAAAATTCGTCAGGTTCGATGACCTTTTTATATTTGATTTCAAAAAATGATTATTATAAATTGTTTTTAAAGGCGGTGAGAAAATTTTAGAAAATTGATGCATTGGATTAATTAATAATCATATAAAAAAGGATTGTTCTAAATCATTTTAATACCCGTTGTATATGTTAATCCATCCATATGCATCTAAAAATTTTCTATTCTGGTTAGGATAAACAATACTATGACATTTTTATACATATTTTTTCCCCGTTACCTATCCACTTCCCATTGCATTCATTCATTATTTTCATTTTCATTATTTAATTCTATTTATCTTTTGCATTTCTTTATTATTATTAATTAAAGCTACCGTATCTTAATATTGTTAATGTACAATCAAATACAATATGTTTTACCTTGAACATGCTTGTTTTTTTTTTTTTAACCGTCACGCTGCTCTGATGTACACCAATTGATTTATGTACACCAATTGATTTATTGGTGTCAGTAATACAGGCCAAAAAAAGGAAATCTAATATTTAAAATATTGAAATACTACGTATAACGATAACGATAATGGATGCGTTAAGGTAGAAATTAAGGGTTAGACCGTTAGCCTGCCAAAGAAGTAACTACTGTATATAAGTATTCCCAAATGAAACTATGAAGTTCGAACGGTGATTACTATCAGATAAATTTGATTATTTCACATTTAGACTTCTTGGTTTTTCACTTGACGGCATTATATAAAATTTCATTTATTTTTTAAACTTTAGTTTTAATTATTTGTTTTTTTTTTTTTTATAATATCAAAGAATTTTAGTTAAAATTAATATTTTTTTACTTTTCCGAACTTAAATAGCCTAATTTTTTTATTTCTGATTTTTTTTAAAGACTTTTACTAAAATTATCGTGTTTTACACCTATGAATACATTTTCTTAAAAACTAGCTAATTAATCAACGCGGGGTGTTTTCTAACCGTAAATATAAAAAAATTTTTGGGTTAAAAATGTTGTATATAAAAAACCTATAAAAAAACTTAAAAAAAAATCTATAAAATATAATAAAAGCATATAATAGATGCTAAACTACCATATATGTGTTTTATAATAAATAACAATTTTTTAATTTGTAAACTTGAAATTTTATTTTAAAAGTAAATCAATTTGTTATTAGCGGTTATAGTCACAAAACAATTAATTTAAGAATTTTAAAAATTTCAATTCTAAAAATTATATTTTTGGTATCAATTTTTATTTTTATTTTTATTTTTTTTAGACAGTTTTGTTGATGCTTATTAGAGTCTTATGTATTAGATCTAAGAATAATATAGTAAAAAAAGTTATATCTATATAAATTTATTATAGTTTGACTCTACTTTAAGGGTAGGGTGAATGTAGATTATTTTCTATATAAGTATATCAGCTAAAAAAATTTTACGCAAAAATTAAACACATGTTACATATAAAAGTTTTTAAAAATACAATTATTTTTCGTAAAATTTTTACAGTATATACATTAAACCCATCTAATTATAATAATAAAATTTGAACCTTTGTTAGATTCGAAAAAAATATACTTACATATATCATTAATTCTTCTTAAGTTAATCGAAATTTGCCTAAGTTACACAACATAAATAACATATGATCATCACCTGATGTTATTATAAAAAATTTAGTAATGTGGTTACTATTGAAATGTAGATTATTTCACCTTATCCTTAATTAATCTAGTATTAACTTATACAATAATTTTAATATTTTATTCATTTATTATAAAATGCATCTATAGTAGTTTTGTATCTATTATAAGTTTTTATTATGTTTTTTAAATTTTTTTAAATTTTTATAAGTTTTGTATATAAAATTTTTAATACTAATTTTTACATTAAAGTTAAATTAAAGTTGATATTTAAGGTTAGAATTAAAGTTTAAAAAGAACTTTGAAAATATAAAAATTATTTAAAATATTTTTTAACAATTAATTATTTAGTTTTTAAAATAATATATATATCGATATAAAATACTATAGATATGTTTTAGTAAAGGTTTTTATATAATTTATTATATTAAAATTTTACGTGGAGGACCAGAATAATGATGGTCAGACCAAATGTATATGGCAGACTATGGAATCCTTCGCAGCTGTGAGAACTGAGCTTAAAACGGCGAATGCCTTTACAGAAGAAAGTTTATCCAAATCATCACCAACACCATTAGACTCCTATGATTTGGACATATACTATAATCAATACCTTAGTCACTATCAACTACCTTTACTAAGAGAACCACAAACTATTAGTTCATTTAGACAACATTTAACACTAAACAATACTAAGCACCTTGCATGTTACCACCTCATCACAGTTAACAGTAATGGATCTGAAGCTCATGTGTACTTACCTGGTGATCATGATATATTACCCAATCATCACATTTTCTCTATATTATATAATTCACCCAACATTCCTTTAAGATCCAAACCTAATATACCAATTAGGCCTTCTACTTCTTACAACATACTAACTACAAACTTAAATAATATTTTTTCACCTACACAAACTATTAGAACTGACAATACATTCTTCTATAATATACCATCACATATCCCAACTCTATCTAATCCTAACCCAAACAACAACAGTATGACCAAAGAAGCACTCAATATTTCTATAGCTACACACAATGTATGTAGATACAATGTCAATCTTAAACAACAAGTTTGGGAAGATAATTGTCTCTCTAATAATTTAAGCATTATAAACATAACCAAAACCAAAATCTCCAACATCGATACTGTTAAAAAATTTCACAAATCTCAACACTTTTCATATTACTGGTCTTGTACTGATAGCTCCAAAGCTGGTACAGCTATTATGCTAAACAAAAAATTTAACCCTCATATATACAACATCATTACCTTTTCTGGCTATGCTATTGCCATGAACCTTTTCTTTAAACATGACTTTAAATTCCGAATTATCTCTATATACTTACCTTGTGACAGTTCTCAAACTCGTTTACAAGTTTAAAATACCATTATTCAATGGATTCAACAAGCGATAACTGCTGGCCTACAACCAATTATAATGGGAGACTTCAATGTAGAAAACAATAACCTATACTCAACTTCGATTAAATACAAATTACTTCAATTCCTCTAATTCAACAATATATACGACCTGTCATCCCATACAAATCTTCTACATATACTTGACAAAATACTAGACATGAAAGTTGTATCAACTATATATGGGCTAATCATTCAATCCTTTGTTACTTAACTTCTTTCTATACAGATGATCCTAAAACTAGTACTGAAAGTGATCATCAGATTCTGATCTCCTCATGGTCATTTCCATATGCATTTATTGGCAAAATACGAACAGCAACCCGAACTCGCAAACGATAAGAATATGAATCAGGAACAATGACAGACATATACAGATCAAGTTACATCCAATCTTAAAGCAAACAATACACCACTTGATATCAATACAACAGAAACACTTGAGTCTACTTGGCATAAAATACAAACAAGCATCATCAATGCAGCACTCCAACATATTCCTAATAAAAAGTTCACTGTATACAATTTTCAACATATTTACTCATCAAAAGCATCAAACCTTCATTATCATCTTAAAAAATTAGGTAACATTATTCAACATACTAAAGCTGCACTTAGAAATCTAATACCTATACCTACACACTACAATAATACCATCAATCAAATCAACTCCACCCACCAACTCAACATTGAACATATTCCTAATGAATACAATCTTTTAACCAACTGGATCGCTAATAGCAATACAGAGTGGAAAACACTATATCTTGCTCACAATATAAAGAATATTAAAGAAATTTGACAACAAATCAATGATAGTATTTCTAAAAGATGTGACAAACTACAAACTAACCTCAAAGCTATGATCAATAGTATTTTAAATCATCATAAAGATCCAGTTAAATTTGATAATATCAAAACTGATAATGATATTATCACTGACACCTTGAAAATCAAAACACATATACAAACACACTTCGATAATTGGACAAACTTTAGACCCATCAACCAGCAGATTTACAACTCTGAATGGCATAATGAATACCTTCCTAAAACTAATATCAACTCAGAGTGGTATAATAGTGCTCTTCATGAATTTACTATTGACGAAATCTCTTCTATATTGTCTCAGCTTTCTAACAACAAAGCATGTGGACCTTTAGGCATTAGCTATGAAATGCTTAAACATGCTGGCCAATCTTTTTTGTTATCTATTACAGCATTACTTAATAAATGCATTGTTACTAACAGAATACCCAAACAATGAAAAGAAGGTAGAATCTACCCAATTTCTAAAAAACCAATCTTTGATAATATGCAATAACATATTAGCTAAATACCTGACTATAGCTAAACACAAATCTCATTTATCAAGATCAATTCCTAATAGTACTATGCTCAACCCATATCTTTACAATATTCGTAATATCTGGGATATACAACTTCAGCATCATATTTCCAACTTTCACCAACGCATTAACAACCCTCACTTATTAGGAATTACTACACGTATAAGACTTCAACAATTACAAAACAATATTTGGTCAACTACAAATATACTTCAACATCCTCAACCTATAGTTGATGGTGCCAATAGATACACACTAAACTTTAAGATTATTCAGTTACTCTCACCACTTGAAATTTGCATTACAGCAAATTCTGATGCCTTATGGCCTAATACTATTTCACATGGCTTACAACCATTAGAAAAAATCCTTAAAAATCACCCTAACTACACAACCTTCAAAAAACAGCTTAGAAATTTGCAAATATTTTATTTAGAACAACTTTGTATATCAGACAATATCTGTGTTTTAGAATGACAACAC